ATAATAACAAGTAAATAATTACCAGTAATTTTTATATCCTGATAAACGTTAAGTAATCGTTTTGTACATTGAAAATTATTTAAAAAAATTAAAATAATTGAAAATCTTTATATTTGTTTTTATTTATTTTAAGTAATTTCTTCATGAGCAAATATTTCCGAAGTTTTTAAAGAAAAGGCTATGTTTACAATCTGAAAATATTATATATTCATTTCCAGCGCGATGACAATTTTTTAGATAAAATGTGGGGGGAACTAATTTATAGTTTTTTCAGAATCTACAAGATTATACGTTTGTAAGTAGTATAAATAATTTTGAGATTTCCCTGTGTTGTTTCTGGCATGATTAACCTGTAATTCAGTCACTACCAATCACTTTGGTTTCGATATTCTCACTGGGTTGGCCTGTCAAATGTTTAGGCATTTCGTCATCTTCAGTGCTGTATGAGATGTATAAGCAGGATGAGGCAAATAAATGGCCCAGCTGGATCTCATTTCCAGCAAAAATAGCCAGATCAAAATAATTATTAAGGGCTAAATTGTAAATAATCACTTAACAGGCTTTATTGAATAAACGAAACCATGTAATTTTCAAAATTAATATTTATTTAGAACTCATGAGATGCGGTCTGGTGTGATGTAGGTTTCAGAAAAACATTTTCTTTATCTTGCCAATGTTTCGATCTTTATTGAGATCATCTTCAGGGCTCAAAGTGTTTGCCTTCTGTGTAATTGTGCCATTCTTGCGTCTCGTGTTGAGAGTGCCCTGGCACAGAAGGCAAACACTTTGAGCCCTGAAGATGATCTCAATAAAGATCGAAACATTGGCAAGATAAAGAAAATGTTTTGCTGAAACCTACATCACACCAGACCGCATCTCACGAATTCTAAATAAATATCGACTAACGGTCACTAATCACCACACATTTCAAAATTAATTACATTCGTCTTTTTTTTATATATTTAGGCATTTTTCCCCATAATAATTTCTAAATTTGTGATCTTAAAGCTTGTGGTCCAAAAATGTAAAATATTACTCATAGGTTCATAACTATTTTTTTTAATTGATGATTTTTTTTATATTTATTAAAATATATAATTTTTTTCCTAAGATTATTGTGTGAACTATCAGAATTTTACCAATATTTTGTAATGTTTACAGTTGTAATTATATTACACGTACTAAATCCATTATATTTCGTGATCTAATTGACTTAATAACTTCTTTCAATTAATTAATCTTTAGTTAAGGTATTGGTTGAAATGAACAAAATGAAATGAAAATGAAGTTGGTGTCCGAGCGGATCGAAGTCACGATAGATCAAGGAGTAGAACAGCGGCGTATCTAGCCGAAGATCGTGGGTTCGAATCCCGCTAGTGATACTAACTTTTACATTTCAGCCAATACCTTACATAAAGATTAATTAATTATACGTACTTTTGACAAAAAAATATGATTTTTGATGTTTATTTAATCAATTGTGCTATCTTGGTAACGTTAGTGTTCAGCAAACAAATCGAAGTTGGAATTTTTAAAATTGCTCATCGAACAAAAAACCTGTATCTAAATTTAATTACTACCGTTAATCACAATTTGAATAAATAATAAAAAAATAGTTTATTTTTAGTTTTTTCAGTTGTTTACATTCAATATTCGCTAAAATATTGATGAACATACATAAATGTTTTATTGTACTAGTCGATTATGATTTAAAAAAATTTAAATTTCGTAATTTTAATCTGAAAAAGATGAAATAAATGTTAAAATATTAATAAATAAATCTACATAAATTTAACCTTACGATGCATTTACTGTACGCCTATGACTTGAGTGTAACTGCATGATAGACGGTTGAGTGAACATGCTGGAAGTGGTGCCTTCGCGTCAATTTTAAAAAAATTCAAAACAAAGATCGTGGTGTTTAGGAACTGTTAAAATTATAAGTGGCTGTATAGGAAAAGGGAAATACAGGTGGTAGCAAATTATAAATATGTAAGTGTTCAGTTAAGTTCTACTATACTTCAGACTTCAGACAAAAAATACTAGCAGGAAAACGGAGTATTGGAACTGTTCCGAAGGATTTCATCACGAATACCCACATCAGTTTAATAGCTAAATATAAAATGTTAATGCGGTCAGTGTCAGGTCTTGGGTGGTGAACCTTATGAAAAGGTGGGAAAATTACAACGTTTCTTTATAAAAAGCTATTCAGACTAATAAATACTCCAAACTATATGGTTTATTTAGAAACGGGAAGAGGCACAATTTCTTCTTATACCCTGAAACTTCAGTTTTGTTATATTTTAAATAAATTAAATCACAGCCAGGAAAGCCTAAAGTTATATAGTAGCTATGGAAATAATTAAGTATAAAACGTTTTGTTTTAAAAACTGACTACAGCCTAGTCATCTATCATAGATGTACACCCCAGTTTATATTGGACGAGTCAAACTAACCTTCCATTGGGTAAATTTGCGCAGGGTCAAAGAAAAAAGGGTTTGAAGGGCTCGCAAGAAGAGCAAACTTCCACGAACGGTACAAACGTTTAAATTATAATATTAAGTAAGAGTAAAAACTTCTCAGCAGAATATAAAGTTCGGGGAGAGGCGCTGAATCTCAATTACAAATCCTGGCTGACAAACTTAAACTATAAATGTTCTTTATGTAATTTTAATGAAATGGAAAACGCTTTCCACTTTTTAGTATCCATACTGATATTCAAAGAATGTGTTTCCTTCAAAAAGATTATCTTTCAGTTGATGATGTTATTTCATTACTTAGTGTGGTAACTGGAAAGATTTGGTTCCGTTCCCTAAAACATCTTTATTATGCAGATGACGTTTTACTAAAAGAATTTAATTATCAGTTTTTCGTTAAGTTTTTTTTTACTTTTCTAATTGTTCATATTCTTTTCGATTAATTAATCTTTAAGTAGGGTATTGGTTGAGATAAAAACCTCACTGTCACGAGCGGGATTCGAACCCACAACCTTCGGCTAAATAAACCGTGGCAATTTCATTTGTCGCCGAGAATCAAGTAGATTACACGACATTTGAAAAATGGCAAAAAGGAGGGAAAATTCAAAAGGCGGGTTGAGATGAGAAGTTGGTTTCCGAGCGGATCGAAGTCACGATAGCTCAAGTGAGTAGAGCAGAGGCGTATTTAGCCGAAGGTCGTGGGTTCGAATCCCGCTCGTGACCTGATTTTTTATCTCAACCAATACCTTACTTAAAGATTAATTAATTGAAAAGAATTTATTTGGTCAATCGGCCCACGAAACCTAATGGATTGTTCATACTGCTTATTTTTATATTCCGTTTAGTATATCTTTTCTCCTTTCTTTAATTATTAATTGTTAATATTTAATTCACTAGTTTTCGTGGTCCGCTTAACCAATTAATATCTTTCAACTAATTAAGGTTTTTAGTTGAGATAATGGCAAACAGAAGGGAAAATTCAAAAGGTGGGGTTGAGATGGGAAGTTAGTGTCCGAGTGGATCGAACTCACGATAGCTCAGGTGGTAGAAAAGCGGCGTATCTAGGTTAGCGTTAGCTAAGGTCGTGGGTTCGAATCCCGCTCGTGACATTGACTTTTTCATCTCAACTAAAAACCTTAGTTAATTGAAAGGTAATATTTAAGTTTCTGAAGACTCTGACAGACAGTCTGATGACCGTTCCTTAAATGTTACAAGAAAAAAAGAGTACGATTTTATATTTTATAATGAGTAATTTTCAGTTTAATATAAAAATGCTTGTAATTATGAGTATTTTTAGTAAAAGATATCAAATAAAAAATAAATCAATTTGATTTACAAAGCAGAAAACTTCATATTGTAAAGATTTTAGACCATACTCAAAATGTATTATTTTTGAAAATTTCGTTAAACCAAATCCAACATTACAGTTATTTGAAATGTGACAGCTATATAATACGTACGACGATAACCTTGCTTAGTTTCGCAAAAAAATTTCTATATCGATCATTCACAATTGAGGTCAATATTAAATGTACAGCCTCATCACGGCGGAAATTATGTCCCGCCGCATTAAACTTTTGACGCAGTCACTTAATCTGAAACCAAAAAAAATCAAAATCCTCTAAATAAATATTAGTTGTACATCAACTTGGAAAGTTGGAGATATGAGATACCAATAAACATAAGCGCCTAAGCGATTCGGGCGTCGGGTCATATCTTGGCAATGATTGAGCAGCTGATCTTGCCAAAAGCTCTAATCCTGTTTATTGGCCACCAACCAAAAATATCTTCTTTGAGCTTTTCTAGTAAAATAATTGGAAGATGTGATGGATGGACTTCACTGAGTGAAAACAATTTCTATTTAATATTTATCTGTCGAATTGACTTAACAGGCAATTTTTAATGGAACAATCGCTTTCACGTAAGGTTTAAAAAACAATCAGTTATATTGCTGTGAAATAATATTGAAAAATTACGCTACGACCTACATGATTTAGATCATGTTAAAGAACAGGAGGACCAGCACATTCCTAACAACTAAAGTAAGTTGGTATCAATGATTTCAACCCATTTTAGAAGTTATTAGTTAAGGAGTTAAAATAGAACTCCTGCTTTGGGTACTACGAACGTAATTTTATTTTTTAAATGGCTCCCAAACTGAAGAAAGATTGAGAAATGAAAAGTAAAAAATACGCGAGTGATTGAACAGATTGATTGATTAATCGGCCAATGTCAAACATAAAAAACTGTCTTGGAAAATTTTATAAGTTGAAAACTTCGACGAAGCGCACTGTATGGATAGGGATAAAAGAGGCGGCCATAAGGCCTACTGTACTTCGACCTGAATAGCTCTATTGTACTCCCCTGTTATTTATAACTCACTGGCCAGCTCAGGTTATTAATCAGCCTCCATAGCTTTGCCACCGGTTCCTTAGTGTAGGATCTTACTTGTGGTTTTTCTTGTCCCAGTTGCAAGAATCTGCACCTACATGGACCTTCACAGAAACGTAGAATGTGTTCTGTGGCCTCCTCCTCTTCCTGGCAGTATCTGCACAGTGTTTCTTCTGTCTGTACTCCTATCTGGTGCATATGCCTTCTTATGTGGCATGCCCTGTCAGACAGGGGCGGGTGCTTGTCCGGTGGCGGCCGTCAGAGCTGCCTTTACCAGTGCATGGTCTCCTCTAGGGGTGGTTAGAGATTCTACTAAAATCGAAACCGCGGCCGGAAAATATCCTGAGTTTTTGACGCTAGCGGAGCCCCTGCACCAATGGAGATAGAGTTGTCGTTTCTATCTAGGGAGTGCGTGGGAGACTAGGACGATGCATTTCGACCACCTTTTGGGTATCCCTTTACGCGCGGCACTGGTTAAGTGTACAACGTGAACCCACCCCTTCGGAAGGGGCAAGCGGGAGACGTCAACATTTCTGTCGATTTGCGGGCTTCTACACAGAACCTCACGGAAGAAGCAGAGTGTCTGTGCGTGGAGGTGAGTCGCTCTTAAGTTGAGAATCTAAACGTGTGATAAGGCCTGACGGCTAAAGAACCTCAATGTTAATAAAAGACACTGCGACCCGAGTGGGAACGTATGCCCTGTTAGGGGTCCAACCAGAATCCTAGTTCAGTTGCTGTTGTCTTCCAGTATTTTTTTGTGAGTTTTACGGATGGTCCTTCTATCTCTTCTACTGCCTCAAGCCTGTTTGCATTGTTCCACCAGGTTTTGGACTCATTAAGGATCCATTTTAAGATGTATCCTTTTTTGTGGCAGGGTGCTAAGCCACAGTAGAGTTCAGGACCCAGTCTACTTTTTCGTTGCCTCTATGCCCAGAGTGCCCAGGGACCCATGCCACGATCAGGTCATTAGTGTCACTTCCGTCAGGGCCTCCATGCAGTTCCTCACTTCCTCCTAGCACGAAGCTAGAGCCCTTAGTGCTGCCTGGCTGTCAGAGAGCATGGCTATCTTCCAGGAATGTATTCCTAGCCTTTTTATTTCTCTGACGCATTGTCCAATCTCTTTGATTTGAGCATATTTACCTAGGTTTATCGTCAGTTCGGTCTTTGGGTTCATCCCGAAGACTACAGCTCCCGTACCCTTGTGGGTTTTGGAACAGTTAGTATACCAGTAGGAGTTGACCCTTAGCGGAGTTCCTTTAGCCCATTTTCCGTTCCGGTATCAGTCCCTTGAAGCGCATTATAAAAAGATGTATGTATTTTCACTTTGTTTTTAAGCATAAAAAATAATAAATATAAAACTAACTAAGAAAAAATGTAATTTGGTGCATTAAATCGTCAGTGCAATATCTTGCAAACTAAAAACTGTTTCAAAAGACACCCTTTCTATGATTCGAAGGGCAATTAATACAACTAATCTTTCTGTTATTTAATAAATGATAGCATTATCAAATCGGTGAACACTTTGCAGCTATGATGTAATTAATATTATGTTATTAGTAAAAGATTATTTCATTCGAAGAACGGATTATATTTTTTGTTAATATATTTTCAGAACAACTTTTAGATTGTAAGCATTATTGTAAATGGTGTCACCAACTAAATTGAAATTAGAAACTTCTACGCTGTAACTAGAATTCTCTCACTTTTTCTCTAACTTCTTCTTTCCAATATTTACGAAGGGTTTTTATACGGTTCAAATAATTCTTTGGGAAAAAATAAAAGATGTTATAATCGCATGCTAGGAGGGTAAAGGACCATTTGTGTAAGTAATCTAATCTAATCGGGTCTACCAAAAACATCATCTTATCCGTTGTCGTGTCATTGTATGGATTTGTATTGTTTCAGGCCGTGATGAAGAGAACCTACGGTTGGGCTGAGTGTCCCCTGGAACTTTTGGAAAATGTGCTCGGCCATCTGGACCACGAGGAGCTTCTGGCCGCCAGCGGGGTCTCGGCTCTTTGGTACAACGCGGCCAACAACGTTCTGCAAAGGGAAGGCAAATGCGTGTACAGATGGCCGGCCAGGTTTCCGAAAAAAGGCGAGACGTTTGTTTGCATTGTTGGAAAAAAAAGGGCCGATGATGTTTTGCGGTTTTGCAAAGGTAACTAACTGAAATGCGGGATTTAAGCCATGTGTGTATTCGTGTGCTAAATAAATTTTCATGAACTTGAGTTGACGTCTGTTAGAAGATCTATCCATCCTGTTCTGCTCTACCAATGTTGGTTTGGTATTTCAGCGTTTCAGAACAGTATGCGTGCGAACGGGCGCGCGTGTGAGTGTGTGTGAAAATGTGTTGGGAGAGAGAGAGGAGAGAGAGAGAGAGAGAGAGAGAGAGAGAGAGAGAGAGTGAGAGAGAGAGAGAAAGAAAGAGATCACCTTGTGCAAAGGAATTGTTTTCAATTAGAGTATATTTTGAAAAAATAACAGAGCGCAGTTTTGCAGCAGTAAAATTAAGCTTGAATTATTCATCAATCAGATTACCCTTTCGCTATATAAAAATTAAAATTTAAAAAAATCTTTTCTTGAGAAAGGGTTGAACACATTTCTGAAATTTCACTTCATCGGGACGAACGCGATTGGCTACTTGTCTCAAAGCAGCGATACACTGCTTAAGAAAAAAAAACATTATTTGCCATATATTAAACATTATTCTTCTGATTACCAGTTTTATTATTTATTGTCGGCTTTCCGTATCGAAAAAAATAAGAAAGAAACAGGATTGAACTAAATATTTAATGACCATCGAACTAGAAAAATTGACATTGACAAAAATTGGTCTCAACATAAAAATATTGGTTTATTATCGTTAATTATTATTTTATCATAATCCATTCTTAATTAATAGATATTTTAAATGTGTTAATTTCCTTGTCATATTCGAATCGACGAATATTGTCATGCTTTTAATTTGGTTTAATATTTCGTCGTCTCAACCTGTAAAAAAGTCTTTTTTTTCTTCTTTTGGAAGACTTTTTCTAAATTTATAGTTTTGCCAAAACTTATTGCGATAATAGTGAGTCTGGGTGGACCCGGTATACGAAAAAGTTCCTTTTTTGCGTGTGCACATTTTTTTGTAGAAAACATGTCAGTCTACTCTTTCCTCTTCGCTGTTTAGATAATATTATTGGTTTGGATAATTTATATGTATCCGATAAGGCTGGTGTAAGGTAATTATTCTTTTTTTGCCATCTTTTATGTGCAAATTTTCCAATAACCCATTTCACTTTAGGAAGAAAAGTGGTACTTGTTTCTGTTTAAAGATATTAACTAAAAGAACATTTCTCTCTTACTCTCTTTCTCCCTCTCGCTCTCTCTCTCACACTCACTCTCTCGCTCTCACATTCACCTTCTCTCATTCTCACTCTCATCCCCCCCTCTCTCTCCTTTTCGCTGTTTAGATGATACAATTGGTTTGTAAAATTTGTAAGTATCCGATGAAGCTGGTGTAAGATCATTTGTATTTTTTACAAAATTTTTATGTCCCAATTTTCCAATAACCAATTTCACTTTTGGAAGAAAATTATAGTTAACTTAGTTAATTAGTTAGTCATTAATTAGTTAGTTAATTAATTAGTTAGTCGTTAATTGTAATTAACTGACTAGAACAGACTAAAAAAAATTCTCTCGCTTTCCACCCTCACTTTCTCCATCACGTTCTCTCTTTTCTCCTCTCTCACTCTCACTTTCACCTTCACTCATTCTCACTCTCATCCCCCTCTCTCTCTCTCTCTCTCTCCCTCTCCTTTTCGCTGTTTAGATAATACAATTGGTTTGTAAAATTTGTAAGTATCCGATAATTTTCCAATAACCAATTTCACTTTAGGAAGAAAATTGTAGTTAACTGTAGTTAATTAGTTAGTAGTTAATTGCAGTTCACTGAGTAGAACAAACTAAAAAAAATTTCTCTCTCTTTCCACTCTCACTCAAACCCTCTCTCTCACTTTCTCTATCGTTCCTTCTTCGCAGTTCAGAGAATTTGGATGAGCAGTTGGTATGTGATGAGACCATTTTTTATCACGCCTGGATCTGATTATTTTTGCCGTTTACCTCGGAAGCTGACACGTAAACATTTAATGCCTTAAACTGTGTTTTGAACAACTACCACTAGGAACAATCTAGCCTCTAGTACTTTTTTTTATTTATTAGCAAACTGTACAATTTTTACGTGAGATTATGAATCTAATTGTTTGGTTTAATTTTTTAAAATATTTTGCTCATTTCTTTCGAGTTGGAAAGTCAGTAGGGGAAAACAGCCAAGCCCAATTCAATTGTAGTCTGTTTAGAGAAAGAAAACCCCTACTCGGTCAAATTACGTGGAAAACGCACGGTCTGAATGACAAACGATTTCATTCCCGATGGAAATGCCTTTTAGATCCATTACCCAGGACTCTTAAGAATCAGTAAGTACGGTATGAGTACTTACAAACTTAAGATAATCATTTTATTTATTTATTTTTCTCCCACGATGGTTAAATATCACTTTCAATAGCGCTGATAATTTTTATCAGTATTGTACATGGATTAATCAGAAAGTAATGTCGGTTTTTGATAGTCCTAAATTACTTACACACATGACAATTGTAAACAAACATTTATTTTATTTATATTTATTTATATATTTTTTGTTCCAGAAGTTGAAGTTCTTGAACTGAGAGCTGATGAGACAGACACATTGCCACCATTGACATTGCTCAAAATTTTAAAATGTGCAAAAAAGCTCAAAAGTATCACAATCGCCAAATATCAATTAAACAAATGCCACGTCGTAACACTACTAACAAATGCTTTATTGTGGAACCTAAAAATAAAAATTGAAAGGTCAGATGATCTGAATAAAGTTGGGCTTAGTCTTCTCAAAGAGAATAGAGAAATTTTCAGCCAACTTTGCATCGAATGTACCGGCGACGATAAAATTGAATTGTACTACCCTTCACTTCCAATCAAACGAAATACCGAGTTTTTATCAGCAGAATGCATATACATCGACTGCACAGGTCTAGGAACGCTTGCAGTCTCACACTGCAGTAAACTTATATTGAAAAATGCATTTTACATAAACGCAGAAGATCTCAAGAAAATTTCACACTTACCGATAAAACACTTAAAAGTAACGCATTCCGATGTAGAAGAAAACGAATGGGATGATATTTTTTCGAAAGGTTTCAGAAACTTGGAAACGCTCGTGTTACGAAACTGCTCAAATTTTTCCAAACAGCTTCTAACAAGACTCGAAAGATTGACCTACCTAGAGATAGATGTGAACAAGCAAGATGATCTGCATTACTTAATGAAAATGGAATCATTGAAACACATTAAGATACACTTGCCTATGAGCCTAGTCAATTACACGAAAAATTTACAAGGGAACCAACCTAAGAAACTCGAACTGGTGATTGATCTCTTCAGTATAGACATGGATGAAATGACCCTGGAAAAATATTTGTCCGAAATTTCTTCCGATGAAAATATAACTGTAGACTTTAAATTTTCCCATTCGGAGTATAGTTTCAAAAGTAAATACAATATTTTAATATAGATTATTATACGAACTCCAATAAGATGCAAATAAATTTAAATAAATGTGATATATTATTTACAAATTTCAATAGAATCAATACTTCTAGTTGGTAATTTTATAGAATAATTTTGTACAAAGGATAAAAATTACATATTTTTAGTCCAAATCATTTTAACCTTTTAATATTAAAACATGCTTCATATAGTTTGTATGTTTTGTAAATAAACAATTTTGTGAATAAATACATCTTTTCATCATACCTAATATCATGTATACGTAAATTACCTATACATTCTGTAGTTATACTTCATGTAAAAGCTATATTATTGCTTTATATTATATGTATATGTGCAGAGAAAATATCTTAGCAAAGATACACAAAAAACCTTATAATTGCTAAGTTTTCTATCGTTTCTTAGAGCAAATTCTTGAAAAATGCAAGTATGTTTGTTGCTGATTAATGTACTTGTGAACTTATGGAAAAGAATAATTTCAATTTTTTATGAATAAAGGAAAACACCCTTTTTTATAAATAGAATTTAATTAAATCAATAAACAACTAATACACCCTTTTGCACAGAATTATTTTCAGAATGCACATTCCAAAATTTTACTTTTTGAGATAACATAATATTGATTAATTAATCTTTCATTTATTTAAATTATAATACAACTGTTACTGATTTCATATCTATGATTTCATAAATGAGTGGTCATTGTTGTACACACACCTTAATACATATGCAGGAGTTAAAATTCATTGTACAAAAAAAAATCCATTAACCTCTGTGAATCTAAGCTGCCAATCTAATCTAAAGGCTCTTTTATATCACAGTTTCTTGCAAAATTACTTAGTGCTAACATTAGAATATAATGCAAGAGGGTTATTTAATAAAAATAACTTAACATTTTTGCATTCCTATTACCTGAAAAAATACCTCAAGTAGCAACAGAATTTATAGGATGGATTGCATACAATATTCTTGTTATTTATTGAAGAGGTGAAATTAATTAGCATATCACTTATGATATGTAAATGTGTAAAGCAAAATTTTTTATAAAATAACTGTAATATATGTACATAACACTTCGGAATGTCCGAAGTGGAATAGGATTCGTTTTTAATTGTATGGCTTTTAAACAATAACTGGAATCACCTTTGGACAGTTAAAATAAAATAAACAAAAAATATTTAAAAGCCTTAAAATTATGAAACACAGTTAGCTTATAACAAAAAATAAAAATATCCCCACATTAAATTATAAATTGAAATTTTCAAGACAAATAATACCTTACTTGTTAAAAAAAACACCATTTGATCATAAAAACTTTGATCTGTTTCCTAATAAAGATTAGTCAGATCTGTTTATGTACCGAATGGCGAGAGTATTATTCCAAAATTTAAAAAAGAAACGTAAGAAAACCAAATATAGTTTCAAATTTGTTGTCATTCTCCTTATTTCGAATGGTGTTTATCATTAGACTGCCTGAAAATAAAATAAATTTTCTTAATTAACAGGAGGTGGCTAATATGAAATAATGTTAAAACAAATCTACATACTTCTCAGATTCATTTTCGATAAGACGTCCGAGTAAATCGAACCGAGCAGAATGCTCTTCGGCCTCCGAACTGCAATCGCTATCATCGCTTGACGCATCGTAAGTTCCCATCCCAGGAAGTATACCTATGCAAGTAAGACTACCTTCTTTTAAAACTTTTGGGTTAAGAACGACACCTTTCTTGTCGTTCACCACATGGTTTTCTTCATCCTTACCAGAACCGTTTGTGGTCACTTCGCTTTTTTTAAATCTGGAATCTGGTTTATCTGAAAACAAATTCATGTAAATACAAAGACATGAGGGAAACATCAAGTTTTACCTTCTGTTTCATTCCGACTTCTTTTTTTATTAGTTGGTTCGCTTTCCGCTGGTGTAGGGACTGGCCTTTTTTTAACAACCGCTCCTGCTAAGAGTTTCGATTGGGAAACCTTACCACTGAAAATATAGCATTGTAACTATTTTAATGAATTTTATATGAGTGAGTGCACATTATTTTATTCAAAATAATAATAATCAAATTTATTAATTACTACTTTCCATTTTGAAAAAATAATAATCCTATCACTGCATATTGGAAATAGGAAAAGTAAAATTTAGCAAAAACATGTATCTGTAGTTTGATAATGATCCGTTTTGGTCAGCCAGAATTGTCTTCCAGGGTGGATCTGGGTTGTTTCATTTTAGGGAGTTGGCTGAAGTTTATGGGATCATGAGCACTCAGCTACACCGGTCCCTCCAGTAAGGAAGCTGTTGGCATCTATAATGGATTAAGTCTGAGTCTTTTTTCCCCCCAATCAGTCAATGTGAAAGTATATTAAAACCTGTTAAACTTATGAAAATCCCTTTTGTCTTATGTATGTAATGTACAGATGTGAATAACTGCATAAGTGATGTCAATAATCAGCAAGTGCCCTAAATTTTGTGTTAAAAACTGTCAAGTACCAGAAAGTAAGATATAATTACATAAATTTACTGGGACAACTACATTGATATTGCAGAGTAGTCAGAACAGTTAAGGTGTTACTATGGACTCATCACACATAAAAACATAAATAACAGCATCCCTGGATTGATATGCCATTGTGTACTAGTCTATATTGAATTTGATGAAATGGTTTCTGCAAAAATTGAATTTTTACCTAAGGTTTAAAGTTGAGTTTTTTTATTTATCCAATTTTGCCCCAAGGTGCATAATTAATATCAGCCTTCAATATTATAATTTTATATCAGAAATAATTTATTTTCAAAATTCTGACTTAATCCTGATTTTTAAAGTAAAATTAACAAATATATTGTGTCGCCATAGATCTGACATTATGACAGGCTACAGTGTCTATACTAAAGCTCAGGAAAAGAAAACAACATAAAATAAATGGCAAGTACAATTGAGATGGAATAAAGACTCCACATGTAATATCAACCATCTAAAAATTGAATAAAACCTTTTAATGTTGTTGTTGACTTTCAACGGCTGCCTGATCTCATTATGAATCCTCTGCTCGAGTCCCTGCTCTTGGAGCGAGGCGACCCTGTTCCTAAAATCAGCCATTTCCCTTTCTTCTTCGGCAGTCTTTTTCCTCTCTTCTTCCATCTTCGATCTGTCAACGAGGTCAAGAAAGTCGACTTCATCATCATCAAGGCCTTTAATCATGTTTTCTAAAAAAAAAAAAAAAAAAATGTAATGTATAATAAACAAGAAAAAAAAAATCCCAAAAGGCGTACTTAATCGATGCGCTTCTTCATATTCAAACTCCTTCTTCTTTTTTTGCTCCTCCAACCTTTCGTATAAAGATCTAGGATCATAATCTTCTTCAGGGGCCTCTGCATATCAAACTTAATAAATAGATTAAAGTGCTTTAAAAAATATAATTACGTACCTAATGGCTGGTTTGGCTGCCGGACTCTTTCCCACTCTTCTTGCCTTAGCTTTCTTCGCTCGGCTATTTCAGCCTCGGTAATAAATCCAGAACTCATTATCCTGTAAATCAAACATGACAATAATTAAATCATATAAATGCCTGACCCTGGCATGAGTCCCTGAGCATTTGGAACATAGAGGCAATGTTCCCAAAAAAATATTCAATATGATTTCTCTAGGCACCAAACCCTACTGAGGTCTAGCATCTTGTCACAAAACAGGATACATCCAAAATAAGATCCTTAATGAGTCCAAAACCAGGTGGAAGCCTTAGGCATGAGACACACGAAACGATTGGAAGAACCATTCGCAAGATTTAAAAAGGAAGTTGAGAGTAACAGCAACAGAACCAGGCTTCTCGTTGAAATTCTGACAGGGCACTGCTGCCTAAGAAGCCAAGTGCATCGTATCGTAGTACAAACAGAAAAAACACTGTGAAGATTCTAGAAAGAATAGTAGACAGCAGATCACATTTTATCTTTCTGTGAGGACCCATGTAGATGCACTTGCAACTAGGAGAAGATGATCAGCTGTGGAGGATGATTAACAATCTGAAGTTAGCAACTAATTTATAAAATCAGAGGAGCCTAGTAGCTCTACTCAAGTTGAGATGAAAAAGGCCTTGTAGCTACTTCTTTTATCTTTAACCTTAAATCATATAATCGGGAAAGCCACAATATTTCATCGATCTGACATATTTGTTAGTAATAAATTAGCATTAGTGAAAATCAACATCAATTTACTACTTCATGGAACATACTTATGATCAACTGTACACTTCATGCTCTGGGATTTTGTTTGTTTTAAAAATTGTTAGCTTTAAAAATATTGAAATGTCCTACCGAAATTACAGTTGTTTCCTCTTGTTTTGTACGCAAAACTGAAATATTTTATTAAAAAAACACTTTTTAACAAAGCATTAACTCAAGATGAAAAGTTGTCCCTTTTCTGTGTAGAACCTCCTTGTTTTCTGGAAGGTTGCAAATCTGCAGAAACCTTCAGCACAGACGACAACAGAAGGACCAGTAGTTGGTAAAATTAATTTATATTTTATTAATTAATTAAATACGAGTTTCGATACTTTTTTTGTTGACTTGAAAGACGTCATAGGATTTGTAAATACAATGTTACGTTTTTAATTCTTACAAATCCTTGTATTGGGTTGTCCGGAAAATAATGCAGGATTTTAAGTTTTCATTAAAAAAAATCTATATAAAATATTCTGTTTACGTTTACAGGATTACTCNTGGGAAATTATTTTGATTAAAGAACATTGCTTTAAAGTAACTAGTTTCTTTTTTTTTGTTTAATACCAAAATCCTGCATTATTTTCCGGACAACCCAATAAATACATTGATTTACTAAGGAAAACAAATCTGACAATTGCAAAGTTTGTGATATGTTATATCAATCTACACGTTTTTAGCTTGACATGGTGATCTAAGTCAGTTTCATATTAGTACAGAACCAACCGGGGCTGCTGTGTTCTGCTGAATGAATGCACAGAGTACTGCACGATTGTGTTTGTTGGACCAAGACCGTATGACTCAGCCATGTCTGGTTGCTAATTATGTTATAAATTAAGTTGCCAACTGTTCCGCTGTCACATATCAAAGAAAAATTAAGACGATTTTCTGCACATTCACGAATAATCTGGATCACGGTATACTCTGGCAAACTTTTTTGGTCAAGACCATACCGAGGTCCAGATTATTCGTGAGTAAAAATGTGGTCTATATACTAACATAATTTCTTCAATATGAATGGAATGAAAAGAAATTCTTCTAATGCTATAAACTAGCTTTGTTATATTATTATATTGTTATATAGCTAAGTTATATTAATTCTCTTCTTTTCGTATACAATTACCAGCGTCCTTGTATCTCCGCACCACTTCAGCCGAGGTTAAAATGTGCACATAATAAACATGAAACTCATCACCAGACCGCATCTCACGATTTCTGAATAATTATCGATTAATGGTCACTAATCACCACACATTATTATTTAAGTTATGTTGAGTGAAATATTAAGAAAATAGAGTATGTCAGTGGGAGGACCAGAATTTGTTATTTAGGGGCATACTTATAGCAATGCGTCAGTGTAGATACCATTATAGGTCTGTGGATGTCTCAAAATGCAACATATAGCTAGGAGTTAAGAGGAGAAGACCAAAAAGCTTTTCATGATGGGACCCCCTCCCCCTGCACTACACCCTGATAGTGTGTAGAAAAACCCCTGCAATGCACAAACACCGCGGCCCGCCAGTGAGAGAGCGGCATTCTGTAGCATGGTACTGGATATTCTGACGATCCCGATATCTTGTCATCTCCCATAACAAAACAAGTCTGGTCTTGTCAGCCCAGTACCGGTTTTCCTCAGGGTGTGGGATAATTCCCTCTTCTATGCTAATAATTTACATTTAAGCCAATACATAAAACGTACCACATAAACACATACTATATGCATTTAAAAACTCTTATAGCCCTGAGGTCTGAAAAAGCGATCCATGCTCACTGATGTAAGGACACGCATAGGTCAGCAAGGACTCAGTAGTTCATTCTGCAGGCTTCTAGTTTTCTGCATTGAAAAATATACTCAATATGCTCTTTCAATATATAAGGGCATTGATACAGTCTCTTTCCTGCCAGCAAGTGCCCGTTTGTAAGCCTAGTATGACCTATGTTATGTATAGCCATGTGAGTATAGCCTTTCCCCCCTTTATCCAGCCTCTGTGGACCAGGCCAATGCCAATCTTTATCTGTCGTAGTTTGGCAGAAGTCTGTGCCCAGCAATTTTTCCATTTTTTTTTACATTATTTTTCATTAATCTTACCACATCTGCTGGACGTCAGGATGGATGGTTCATGCAGCTTTACCCGCTTTGTCTGGGCGGGAATCCAGACCATCATAACCTTCTTTCTATTAGCATTGATCCCTTTTAATTGTTCATATATTTTATTTATTAGTGGATCCACTGAGGCTTTTCTCCTGAATTCTGAGACTGCACTGAGTGAATCCGTGCATATTATATAAGTTTTTTTCCTGTTTTCAATGTATTACACTCAGTGCAAAGGATATGGCATTCAATGCTCGCTGTGGGGGAAGGGAAATAACTTCAACCTATCCTTCCATGTGTACAGCACAGCCCACACCCTCTGGCATCTTTGATCTATCAGTGAAGATGGGTTTAGCGTAAGGGTACTCCGTCGTCATCAGGGTGTGGGGTTGGGACCAAATTCAGGGTCGCTGAGATCCGATCCCACCCCTTCCATTGATGAGTGCCATGTCAATTTCTTTCAATTGCGGCCATCGGTCCCCTTAGGCGTCAGAAAAGTCCAGAGGCGACGGTGGGGATCGAACCCATGACCGCGGGATCTACTAGCCGAGAGTCTGATGCCTTAACCACTTGGCTACCGCGGCCCCGCCTTTGTTTTATAATAATTAGTAATAAAAGTAAAGTGTCTTTATTATATACTGTAAAGGAATAAAATATGGTAAAATAAAAATTATTTAACCATTGTGTGCTCTAAATAAAAATTAGTTTCATAGTTATTTTTAATGTTCAAAACTAAAATAATTTATTTTTCCCCTCTATTTTAGAAAATTTTATACAAACAATGATCAATTTACAAGATGTTGTTGAAGAAGGAAAGAACAAGGTATCAGTTTTCTGCTCCCGTTGCCCCTCAAAAATTCTCAACTCGAAATCCGCCTCTTACAAATCAATTCAGGTATCTTACGATTCAGAGAATTACTTTACTTTTTTTTTTCTTAAATCTCATGTTATTTTCATTCAGATGAGTCTACCCTATCTACACAAAAAGGGCGATAACGAGTCGCAGGCCGAAGAGCTCACAGACTTCTGGGAAGTGTTGGACATGTACACATTTGAAAACATGGGCTTTTCAAACACGATGGACGACAAGAAGTACCTCATATGCGCTGACTGCGAGATGGGACCCCTCGGATGGCACGATCTGACAACAAAAGTGAACTACGTCGCCCTCTCAAGGGTCAAGCACAATGAGGACGTTGCCAAAAAATAAAAAATAAATAAAATTACAGGCACCGATATATTTTTCAAAAAAAGGTGTATCACTATTAAATTTTAAGGGTTTTTTTTTTAATGTTATTTTCACTATTGTATTTTTAAAAAAATTCAATTTTTTCAAGCTTTTGAAAAAGACTTAATGCATTAAAAAAAAAGCTATATTTTCAAGCACACTATTTCTTTCTTTGGTTTTGTGATATTAAGAGGTAAAATTATCTTTATAATAAAGTTTCAAAGTGATAATGTCATATTATTTACCATGTTTCTCATAACCACCAGATATTATTATTTCATAGTTACAGTTTCTATAAATCCTAATTCAAATGTATTGCCACTTTTGCAGCTTTTCCTCTGTTTATTAAACATGAAATATAATAATCTATTTTACGTTTAGTGGTCTAATTGACCATATCAATTATTTCAGTTAATTATTCTTTTTATGTAAGGCTTTGGTTGAGATAAAAATGCCAATCTCACGAGCGGGATTCGAACCCGAGGTCATGGGTTCAAATCCCGCTCGTGACACTAGCTTTCTCATGTCAACAAGACCTTATATAAAAAGAAAAGAACAATCAAGTATAATTTTGAATTTATAACTTAAATAACCATATACTTACTCGTATATTGTCACTCTATAAGAGCTAATATCATAAAATTAAAATATTTTATTGTTTTTTATTTCAAAATAGAAAATGCACTCATGATAAGTCGGTTGATAACGTGATAAGGCGTGACAGTTGACAGGCCGTGTGCGTTTTATAACCAGCTAGGAGGTTATGCACAATACATCTTTGATCTGCTTGAAAATATGAAAAGATATTTAATCAATTTCTCATATATCGGCACAAGATTTAGGTAGTTCTCTTATTCTGGTAATTCTTCTTGAAAATATTTCCACCAATTTTATCCGAGTACGTGTACTCGGACTCGGAAGGCACTCAAAATGCGTCTTTCTTCAGGGGTGTGCAGAAACAATTCAATAAAGGCGTGCCAGTGTTCGAATTCGAGACAGTGCAGAGCGTGTTAGACAGTGCATTTTTAAAAATTATTAACAAACCTTTGAACACGCCGAAGATTTACGTTGCGAGCAGGTAATCATCACTGCAGTGCCATAAAAAGAATAAAGTTAATCCGTTGGTTTTAGGACAGACCAGGGAGTGCATGCACTCCACGCTGCTGCACATGTTGATTTAGAGTTTGTACGTCCAAACACGACTGAAGAGATAATCTCTAACCTTAATTATTATCTAACAAAAAAAGATTTTGATATTAGGTAAGACTTGCACCTTTGCACTTCTCCTTCCGAGTCGTAATTGTTTTTTATCCTTTTCTAGAATTCTGTCTTTGAAAGAAGTTCCAGATGAGTTTCACGCAAGGTATTCAGCAGTGAGAAAGAAATATTTGTACAGATTCGCTGTTGTCAAACCGGAAAGTCTATCAATCATTTCAGATAAAAAACATTGTCTTCCTTGGCCTATACTTGAAAAAGACAGATGCTTATTTATTAAGTAAGTTTATTTTTGTGAAGTTTTATTTTACAGGCTGTGGCATGATGAAAATATGAAATATGGCATGATATTAATCCGTACATGTTTAGCGATCACAATTTATCATATTAATTATTTCAATTAATTATTCTTTTTATCTAAGATCTTGATTGAGATGAAAAAGTTAGTGTCATGAGCAGGATTCGAAACCTCGACCTTCAGCTCAATACGCCGCTGCTCTAACCAGTTCATCTATCATGACTTCGATCCCCTTGGACACCAACTCCTCATCTCAACCTACAACCTTTCAAAATTTCTCCCATTTTGCCATGTATTTTTGGTCCATAAATCTTATGTGTATGTAGATTATTTTTACAAAGACTACTTCGTACAGCCAATAAGCTCAAGGGCTGTAGTTCTGAGGTCACAAAATATTTTTTAAACTAAATTATCCAATTTGGGGGACTGTGGCAGGTGAGTGGTTAGTGTGAAAGACTCTCGGCTCGTAGACCCTGCAATTGTAGGTTCGATTCTCACCATCGCCTCTAACCTTTTTTTCACGATGCCCTTCCCCCTCTAATATGCAAACACATAATAATTATCTCAGATCTTGAATAGTATGCATACATCATTAGGCCATTAAAAAATATCCAATTTTGATTCTTCCGATATAATACTATCAATATGTCACAAGTGGCATATATAAAAATGAAAACAAACAAAAAAATTTACAAGGGTGTGCAACAGCAGAGGTCATATCAACCCTCAGGTTTTTTCTTTTTCTTTTTTAAAAAAAAGCTCATTTGTAAGTATGGTTTGAATGCAGGGCCGCCGGATTCAACCCCAGGACTTTTAACTTATAATGGATGAGCGCTGTGTCAAATGTTCACAGGCCGCCAAGGTCCCAAAATTATTTATTGACTCTTACTTTGAATTTTTTACTCTTCTTTTTTGGTTGTTAACTTTTTTATTTCTTGGGTTTCTTTACAGGAAATAAACAAATATCAAATTAATGAGAATGAGTTTGATGGTTTACTTTGAAATGTTTTTATTTTAATATTTATTTAAAGAAAATTCTACAGATTATTTTTGTTTGCCTAGTTTACGTCAACTGAAAATTTTGAAGAAAAAAATTGTATTAGAAAAAAATACAATATATAAATTAGAAAATATAATAATTTAGTTTTGTAAACGTTCAGTTTGATTTAGAAAATAATTTTTATTATTATAAATGTATCTTCTGTGAGCTGTCTTCTTTAGTAGTGTTTGCTAAAATATATAATACATTAAACACACTCAGTGAAGATCACAGAATGTTACTACAACAACAAAAATGATCTATGTATATGCATACATATTTAAAGGCAAATATAACTTCAATTTGGGGAGAACTTGAGGGTGAAAAATTGAAGTGGCTGAAGAGGAGGCCTTGAAATATATAGAAGTACGGGGTCACTAAAAAACATCCTCTCAAAACCTAAAGACAAGGTAGACAACTTGGCAAAAAGCGGGGTTTACCAACTCAATTGTAGTGATTGTAATATTAAATATATAGGTCAAAGCAGCAGAGAAATAAAAACGAGTCAATCATTACAATCATAAAAATTATTGTTAGTACTATAATGTCATTTATTTATTCCTCTTCATAATTATTATCATTAGGTTTTAGGTTTCATTTGCTTGAAAAAAAAGGTTTAATTTGCTTGAAAAATGGTTTCATTTGATAGAAAAAAGGTTTCATTTGATTGAAAAAAGTTTCATTTGATTGAAAAAAGGTTTCATTTGCTTGAAAAATGGTTTCATTTGACTGAAAAAAGGTTTCATGTGATTGAAAAAAGGTTTCATTTGATTGAAAAAGTTTCATTTGATTGAAAAAAGGTTTCATTTGATTGAAAAATGGTTTCATTTGATTGAAAAAAGTTTCATTTGATTGAAAAAAGGTTTCATTTGCTTGAAAAATGGTTTCATTTGACTGAAAAAGGTTTCATTTGATTGAAAAAAGGTTTCATTTGATTGTAAAAGTTTCATTTGATTGAAAAAAGGTTTCATTTGATTGAAAAATGGTTTCATTTGATTGAAAAAAAGGTTTCATTTCATTGGAAAAAGGTTTCAGTTGATTGAAAAAAGGTTTCATTTCATTGAAAAAGTTTCATTTGATTGAAACAAGGTTTCATTTGGTTGAAAAATGGTTTCCTTTTATTGAAAAAAGGTTTCATTTGATTGAAAAATGGTTTCATTTGACTGAAAAAAGGTTTCATTTGATTGAAAAAAGTTTCATTTGATTGAAAAAAGGTTTCATTTGATTGAAAAAAAGTTTCATTTGCCTGAAAAATGCTATAGACATCATAAATATAGACTTCAATTAATTATTCTTTTTATGTAACATCAACCAAGACCTTACATAAAAAAATAAATAAAATGCAAATTTTAATTAATTAAATAGTATATATTATGTCATTTCCATTTTTGTTTAAGTACACTAAATATTGACATTGAAAAACTGAAAGAGGCCTCAAAGCTATTCGTTGGCACCCATAATTTTACAACTTTTATGCATAAGGCTTTGCAGCACCCAGATGTCGATCCTGTGAAAAATATCGAGTCGATCGAACTGTTACCTGGAAGAACACAAGTGGACAGCTCTGAAGTTAAACATTTTGATTTCTGGCAGTTGCACTTTACTGGAAAATCATTTTTATACAAGCAGGTAAATAAACTGTCATTTTTTATTTATTTTTTTCCATTAAAGAAGTATTTTTTTAGGTACGACGAATGGTTTCTATATTAATAGCAGTTGGAAGTGGAAGAATGAATGCAGCAGAAATAGAGTTTATGTTGACAAATCCTCACCAGTCCTCATGGAATGGAAAAGTCTGTGTAGTCCCCGGATTTGGTCTTTATCTCCAAAATATTGAATACAATGAAAGTGATCTTGTAAAGAAAGAATGAGTTTTCTAGAAGATTTGAAAGTAAAACGGAATAAGTTATACCATACAAAAACCAAAGTGACGACTATAACTGGTGATACTTACATGGAGGAGACATCACAGGGAGTTAGCAGGATGGAAAAGACTTCTAACAATTCGCCGGGATATGTCGTAGATGTAAAACCAGATTTACAAATTGCTCATGTGTTTCCCTGGCTATGCATGGGATCCCAGGATGTCGCTCATGATTGGGTGTTGCTCAAGGAAAATAAAATAACACACGTTCTCAGCCTAGGGATTGAACCTCAACATTTTCCAAACATAGTGTACAAGTTTGTCCAGCTTCTTGATTTGCCCGAAGCGAATCTGTTAAGGCACCTGGATACCTGTTTTGACCAGATAGAAGCGGCGAATGAAGAAGGAGGGAGAATATATGTCCACTGCAATGCCGGCGTCTCTCGAAGTGCATCTGTTGTTATCGCTTATATCATAAATGAAAAATGTTGTTCTTTCACTGATGCGTACGAATATCTTAAACAATTGAGACCATGCATAAAGCCGAACAACGGGTTTATCAGCCAGTTGAAAATTTTTGAAAAACAATTACTCAGTTAATAAAATTTTATAGCTTGTGAATTATGTTTTTTGTTTTAGCCAAATGTGTAGTAAATATATTACCATTGGTAAAAAAAAAACATGGTAAATATTTAGTGTGTTGTAACATTTTGTAAATTATTTGAATTTTTTACATAATTTAAAAATAAATAACAAAGTAGATTTCTTCTGATTACTAATCACTAAAAAGGTTTCCACAATAATTTTTTTATTATTAAGCTGTTTTTATTTATTATTTATTTGTTTATTATTTAAATTTTTATTTATTGATTTATATAAAATGGTATATGACTGTCTGACAGACAATGCCCAGCCCAAAGTAGTGGATCTAAATCGCCAAAATTTTGACAGTGCATTCTTATAACGACACGGATAGCCGCTAAGAAAGAATTTCTTGAAGTTCCATCTTTAAGTGGTTGTACAATTTTTTACCATATTTTGTCGAAGTCGTGAGGAGTGGTCAAGAATGATGAATGATTCTTGACTGCACCTCACGACTTCAAAAAATTATGAAACAACCGTTCACTAAGAAACACATTTTTACCATACTTAGACAGAAGTGAGCTTAAGAATAGGAGAATTTGAGAATCAAGACATTATATTAGAAAGCCATACTAGCACTCTGTATTGAAAAGGTACATTAAAACAGATAACAGAGTCCCGCATGGACGAAGTCGTGGGTAAAAGCTAGTTATTTTATAAAGTAACACTAAAAAGTTTGGGTGAAATAATTCCATAAATGTGAAACTTTGATGGAGGGTAGAAACTCTTCGAAACTATTAAATATGTTCATTACTGATAAGTTATTGTATTATTATTATGATGATGTTGATATTTTTGATTATTTATCATAAGGTATAAGTTAAATGAATTACAATGTAAATTTTGTTAAAATATAATTAGGGAATAAATTATTAAAAAGGGAAATTAATGATAAGTGCGTTGGCCAGCCTGGCGGTTGTAAACACGGCTGCGGCCTCGTTAAGGTTTTCCCAGTTGGTACTCGGTCGAACGCAAAACGGCTACGCCTCGGCTATTTTCCAGTGGCAGTCGCTTTTCTCTTTCCGAGCCGGGGGAATTGAACAAAAACGGAAGTTTGATGGACGGGTGCTTCGCCGCCTCCCGCCGGAAACGGCCCAACGATGGACGCCCCGCTTTCCAAACGGCCGCCGAAATGGAAACTAGGACCGACTAGTCGGCCGAATGGAGGGCTTGATCCCCTCTTCCATCCCCTGTGAGTACGGCATTTTTAGAAAATTCCTCGGCGGATTTGAAAAAAAATTCGATCAATTAGTCAAAATGAGTTTTAAATTTATTGGAAATCGACCGGCGAACGGGCCTTCTTAAATTCCTAGTTGGTTTAAAATAGTAAAACGCCTATTCGCTATGGGCGGTCTTCGACTTTTGTCACAACGTTTTTCACCTCAATCCTCACAAATCTTATCTTCTTTACTTGCCAATTTATTTATTTTACGGCTCGTTTTATCTTATATATAATTGCTTAAGTTTTAGCCTCTTTCCAGCATGTAACATATTGAGACGTTCATTTCTTTTAGAAAGTAAATTCATGGAGGTTTTTCATGAATAAACAGCAACTAGAACCTGTAAGGTTCCTTAATCCTCAAATTATTTAAAAATTCGATTAAACAATCATCCAGAACTGCTAGCCGAGCTGAAGGATAAATTTAGTCCAGGAGGAGAAACCTGGGATTCAAAAAATCCAGACAAAATAAGCGCCAACACCATATAAGCAATGCTATTCCATCTCGTTCATTTACAAATACACTGTGAACTCTGAACACACATGAATTACCATATTTTTTTGGTATGGCTATTCTTGCTTTTTCCATGCTTTTCATGCATGAACACATGGCATCTATGATGATGATGATGATGATTAAGTATGAGTCTTTTGGTATGTTCCAGTCTGCCATGTGAAAATTTGTCAAAGTTTCCTTAAGAATGTAAATTCAAGGTTGTTTTTTTCATGAATAAGCAACCGTAGAACCTGTAAAGCTGCATAATCCCCAAATTATATAAAGATTAGATTATACGATCACCCAGAAATGCCAACCAATGCTGATGGATAAATTTAGTCTAGGTGTAGAAACCTGGGATCTAAAAAATTCAGAGAAAATGAGCTTCAACGCCATATGAGAGAATTATTCCATCTCATTCATTTACAAATACACAACTCTTAACACACATGAATTACCATATTTTTTGGTATGGCTATTCTTGCTTTTTCCATGCTTTTCATGGAACACATATTGGCATCTATGATGATGATGATGATGATTAAGTATGAGTCTTTTAATATGTTCTAGTCTGCCATGGTAAAACTTTGTCAAAGACGTTCGTTTCCTTAATAATGTAAATTCATGGATGGTATTCATGAATAAACAACCCTAGAACCTGTAAAGCTGTTTAATCCCCAAATTATATAAAGATTAGATTATAGGATCACCCAGAACTGCCAGCCAAGCTGAAGATAAGTTTGGTGGAGTAATCTGAAATCCAAAAATCCAGGCAAAATAAGCTAAACACCGTACAAGAAATGTTATTCCATCTTATATAAACTGCTCCAGAATGAACTGGGATATTTGTAATTTGTTCTTATTCTATTAATGTTATTTAAATTAAATGATACATTCTTGGATAAAACAAAATAGAAAATACATACAAATGTTAATCCTCATTTTTAATAATGGATTTACTTAAGAATAGTTAACATGAAGATTACTAAATTTGTAAACAAACACCTTCTCTCATCTTTTCTCCATTTTGAACCGGTTGTATTTTCTTTAACAATGGAATGACATGAATGAACCAGAATTTCCCAATATTATTGTAAGAATGAGTCATCGAGTCACTGGCAAGTGTGTATTGCAAACGCAGTTGATGTTTCTTAAGGCATGATCTACCAGGCTTTACCCCGATTCCGAGAGACTGGAAGTGCCCATAGTAGGCCTGATAGTGGATTATGATGCTAAGGGAGGACAGGAATATTGTCATCGCTACAAGACGGAACCCTTTCCATAGTGCTTGCCAGATCCTAAATTAATTGCAAGATGTTTTGGCAAGGCCATCAACACATTCGTAATTGCTTGTATGAAGTATACACCTTGAGACTACCTGCAGCAACAGCCCGCCGTTTAGCAACTCAGGAGAATATGGTGCTTAGGAAAGAACACTAATTGGAATGCTGTTATGTTTACTGATTTGTGTTTCTGTCTGTATAGTGGTCAGGTTCTGATGAGTCTACTGAGAACAGGGGTTGTGTATAATGCCCCAGGTGGTGTAATGTTCAGGGCTGGAAGAATTTACACTGGAGGACGAACTGGACTCCATATTGTTAAAGGCAAACCAAGCACCAGAGTTATTAAAGAAACAAAGAAAATAGAGGAATACATCCCTGAAATCAGGGATCCCTTTCGCTGGGATTTTCAATTTCTGGATGGCAATGCCAGACCTCATAGAGGAAAAGTTGTTCATCAATGTTCAAAAAACCTGGGAATTTCCCATCTGCCCCTCCCCCACTGTCTCCAGACGTCAATCCCATTGAGCACATTGAATGAGTTGCAGAGAAGGCTTTTCGATCATTATCTGCAGCCAGTTGATCCACAAAAACTGATCACAGCGTTGCAGCATCTACAGAGCAAAATTCCTTAGACAATTAGAAATTAGTGACAACTTTATTGACAGTACACCTAACGGTGCCCAGAGGTTTTAGCTAACAGAAGACATTGTACACTGTACGAATTGCTTTAAAAAAATATTGTGTCCAATAAACAAAATTATGGAATTAATGTTTTATTTTATTTTTCATAATCCCTTAATTACATTTTACTTCAGTAAAAAACAATAATTTCAAATAAATTTTAATACAGTTTTTAATAAAAATAAAATAAAAATGCTAGTGAAAGTAAAAACTACAAAATTGGCAATATCCTTATTCATTATTGAGCAGTTTATTTACAACAAATACACTGTTAACCCACATAATCATAATAATCATCTAAATAAACCTAGTTCTAAATAAATCTAGTTTAACCTAGTTTGGTCATTTATGACCATTTAAGGTATGACTATCCTTGTTATTTTTGTCATTTCACCCTTTTGCCAGGTGATGAACCTGTAATTTGAGTCTAACAAGAAAATCTTGGTCTTCCTATTTTTGTCGGGTTGGTCTCTCAGATGCTTTTTAGGCCACCATTACATTAAGAGAATGGTAAATAGACAATTGTGATCACTAAGCATCAAATATAGAGAAAAAAGAAAATATATATTCAAATTCAGGAAGTGTAAGACATTTTATAATATGTAACAATTTTCTTTGTTTCACCACCCTTTTCAGAAATACATATTACTTCTATAGGTGACAGGTCAATCATGAATCAAGGCCAGTTGCACACAATTTTCAATTAATCGAATTCTGTAATAATTTGAAGAACACAGTAGAAAAATAAATGTTAAAAATAAAACATACTTGCTTTTATAAATTAATTTTATTAACGTAATATCCTTTTCCTCAGTCCAAACTAAAATTCTTCGTAATGTTCTCAAAACTTTCAAGATTGGAAAAGTGTTATAATAACAATTAGTGGTAAAAATATATATTTTAATTGTTTTTAACTCTCATGTCTGCAAGGGATGTATTCTTGGTCCTTTTTACCACTCATACTTTTCTTAATATGCCTACCAATGATCCTGTTTTTGTAGTGTTGTATAATTAAAATCACTTAAACTCTTTCTAAATTTGGGGAGTTAAATAACAGAAATACTAGAATAAATCTTAATTTTGGTCTGCCTATCCTTGTTTTGGTCTGTTTTTATTCAAACAAATTTGTGTTTTTGTTTTATTTCTAATTTGTGCATTAACAACTGCTTATTTTAAACAGCCCTTAAAGGGAGGGACAAGAGCAAAGAATGGCAGATGGAGATGTTGATGGAGAAGTTAAGAGCAAAGTCAAATCAGTATAGATCTTTCTTTGAAAGTTCCAAAACTCTGAGGCTGACTATGCTCGTAAGTATTGAATTTTTGTTTTTTAGTAGCACTTCAGTCTTGTAATTTTTTTTTTTTTAATTTAGGAAAAACGGTATCCTATAGACAACATTGAACGTTCACATCTTCAAAAATGCCTTGACACTTTGCAACAGAACATCAAAGTTACAACACACCAGGCAATGATCGAAAGGCTAGAAAGTGTCACAAGGCAGCTCGGGTAAGTTTTCTCCTTTTCCCAGACATATTTTGTATTTTACCCGAATATGTTTTTATATTATGCAATTTTTTTTTACCACGTTTTCAGTTTAAAATTTGTAACTGGACCGTCTGGGCTTGATCTTTTCATTTCTTCAGATATGTTTTATTTAGAAGTAGTTCTAGAAATGAACGGTGGAGTTAAAGATGTCAAAATACATCATGAAGGCCATGGCGAGCAACAAGTTAGTTTTCAAATTCAGTTTCTTAAGATTTAATATTTGTTATCCTTTGATGGAATTACATGTAAGATAAATTTTTAGAGCTGTGATGAATTGGTAGCCTGCCTGACAAGAAGGGATTTTGCAGATTTTACAGCCCAACTTGAAGGATTTGCGTCAATTTATCAAATAAACGCTGAGAAAAAGGTAGTCGATTTTTACTGTTTTTCACTTTGTTTTTATAAATTTGTAATTTCTATTTGTGATTGAAGGTAAAATGTAAAGCTTATGACGCTCTGACATCATTAGAAACCGATCTTCTAACCCTGGCATCCCTTCACTCTTACATAAACGACACTTTAACAATGATACATCAGTCACCAGTCGGTTATTTGGAAAAGAGAAGGGGAGGTCGGTACAAATGAAAAGTTTATTTGTGGTAAAATGGTCATTTAATTCTGTTTTTACAGGCCATGCGATGAAATTAACATTTTTTGTTTCTCCGTACGATTTACTGGATCCCATGACCCGTACTGTTAGAAAGTTACCTACAGAAGGGAAGCTCGGCTTTGGCCAGTCCGTTTCCGTCTGCATGGAAAGCTCTTCAGCCCACAAACTTCAAACTGCACCTCTAGTCACTATTAACCGAGATAATAAGTAATGCTGTTGTTACATGATAATTTTTAATAATTTATTACAATTTTTTATTTTTTATTTTTTTCCAGTTGGCCCTGTTATGCTCCTCTCAGCCCATCTAACAGCTTGACAGTTACAGGATGTTTTGTATTGACTCTCAATAAACCGATGCCACTATGTCTATCACTTATTAACAGCATTCAAGCTGTCACTCAGGTAAATAGTATACAAATTTCGTTTTCCACTGATTACTATTCTTTTTTTTTAAATTAATTAATTTTTTTTTCAGTTGGAATGCGCAGATGTAAGCAGATCTCATCCGATATTGAGCTTAATCTCACAACATATATCAGAAGGCAAAGCAGACTCGGCAAACGGACGAGGCCTCTTTGTGGTAAGTGATAAAACACTAACAAAATATATAGGTTATTTTATTTACCTTGTTTTTTTTAGAATGTAGGGGACCAACATCACTGTTACTTGATGACTGAAGGAAGGGGCTTAGATGCCGTGTTAGTTTCAAGTATACCTTTTACACATCCGAACCACGTACCCCAGATTATAACATATCTAAGACAGCAGGCCTTGTTCAATGCTGTCGTCGCTAGCTGTGTCAGACCAAATACAAAACAAGGTATGTTTATAAAAAAAAAATTTTTTAATTGGATTTCTGATGTGAATTTTTTTTTAGATTTAGAGAGCATGATCATGCTTGAAGTGACCCCTCTCTCCTGGCAACACCTCAGCATTTCCCTCGAACACCCAGTTGAAGAGAGCATGGCAACTGTCGAGATCGATTTGACAAGCATAGACAGGGTAACGTGTAAAGTTTATACGTCTGGTGAATCTGGCTCTACTTCATCGGAATATGCAACGACAGTTTTTCAAAGGTTTGTTCTGTTATTTTGTAATTATTAAAAATTAAATATTTCATTATAATTTCATTTGAAAATAATTATATGTTATAGTGGTAGATAATTTTTATTATATATCAGAAATCAAATATTCATTTTAATCAATTAACAACAAAATTAAGTGATTTTTTATTTATTGTCATTATTTCTGGACAGTATAAAGAAAACAAACTAGTAGATATGTTTTGGCTGTTTTAAATTTTTTTTCACATTCACAAGAAATTTTATATGAATGTTTCAGATGCCTTTCAATACCCGTTACAATGAGGTCTCTAATAAAACAATGGAATGCCCAGAGTCAGAGAATGACCAATTTTTATAATGGGCTTGGAGGGAGCACCGGAGGTAGTGGACAAGGCGGGAATCAGGGTGGGAATGATTTCACCCCGGATGTGAAAATTAAGCTAGAACCGGGGTTAAGCTTGGTACACCAAGGCGGTTCTTTTGATGATTCCCCTGGTGGCGGCTTTGACAGTTTTTCATCTGGCCCGATGGAAACTTCCGAGCTGTCTATAAGCCAGACTTCGATATCGTTTCCTGATCTCCAGGGAAAAAACTTCCTTGGCCTACTTGATACTGGAAGTGGAGGGTCTGGGATGGCAAGTAGCGAACGGAAAAAAAGGAAAAGAAGATCAGGCGATATATCTTGGAGAAGCGACAAGGACAGTTCTAGTAATGATTCGACTCCTCTGGGAACACCGACTTCCCGGGAGCCAGTCGAACTTCCAACACCTACTTCTAGTTCTGGGTTAGAATTTTCAACTCTCTGTGATCTTGAGAACTCTACAACTTGTGATAAAGCTTCAGATTTAGATATAGAAGAAGTAATTATTGGTAACCCTCCTGAAATTGAAGATGTGGAAGAGATTTTAAAAGGTAATATCAAAAAGGTAAAAAAGTCAAAAGACGAAAAGAAATCAGCCTCGGATATTCTTTTTGACTTGGAGAATAAAAATCTTGTACCCCCTTCAGTTTCCATAACGCCAATATCCTCGTCATCGATGACAACTCATAATTTCAATTCCATACTTTCTGGAATGGGCTTAGAAAGGAGACCGGGTATTGAGATCATTCCAATTTCTTCAGCAGCTCCGGCCCCGACACAAAGTTCTATTACAATAACGCCTATCTCGTCAAAAAACGTATCAGAGGAACGGTCAAAAGACCGTAAAAGCAGCAGAAGTAGAGAAGATAAAGCCAGGACGGATAGGAAAAGAAAGAGAAAAAGAGAAGACAGTCCCATGGGCCCACCGGAAAAAGTACCCCCGAAGCCAGACCCTTTATCTAAACCTGTTTCAGTCAGTATTAAACCAGCGGATTCTTCATCTCCGAGCCCTTCTTCTCCAGCATCGGGAAACATTAGAAAATATTCTAGTAGCCCGACCAGTTCAAACCAATTAGTACTAGTGGCAAAATCAAGTCCCTCTAGTGCTTCCAAATCTTCTAAACAAAGCCCAAAACATTCTCCCGCTTATGGTACATCTAGTCCAAAAAACAGTTTAACTTCTAGTCCCAAGCATGGGACTTCTTCTCCAAAACACCAGTCATCATCTTCGTCGGGTAAACCCAGTCTTTCGACTTTAAAATCAGCTGTGAGCTCACCTAGCAAGGAGAAAAGCAAAAGTAAAGAGGGCAAAGACAAGGACCGGAAGGGTTTTTCCTCAGGCCATTCCAGTCCTAAATTAAAATCTTCCTCTGTGAAAATCAAACAACTCGATTTGACGAACATTGACGTGCCTCAGTCGTTGCAAACAGGGGGCACCACACCTCCTCAGACAGGAGATGGGGGTAAGTCCTCCTCAGGGCAGTCAAGAATCAAAAAAAATTCATTATCCGCAGTAATTGACAAACTCAAGTCAGCACAATCTTGCGGAGAAGGAGAAACCATTAAAGAAAAAAAGGAAAAAAGTGGCGGCGGCAGCAGTAGTAGTTCGAGTAAATCTGATGTAAAGGCAAGTACTACAGGAAATAGTGGTAACAACAACAACAATAGTGGGAGTGGTGGAAAACCTGGTGAAAACAAAACAGGTGAATACATGGTGAAACCGAGTTCTGATGGTATGAAAATAACAATAAACAAAACAAGAACTAAAGATTCAAAGGCTAAATCATCATCTTCATCATCGTCTTCTGGATCAGGTTCACCAAAAACAGTCAGTTCGAATAAACCTGGAGCTTCAAGCAGCAGCAGTAGTAGTGTTAGAAAAACTCATACTACAAGTCAGAAGAGTAGCTCACCTGGATTGAAATCTTCAAGCGGATCTTCATCTAGTTCTTCAGCCTCCTCTACATCTTCAACATCATCTTCTTCCTCCAACTCTAGTTCTAAAAGATCAGGCTCGTTAACCAGTTTGCTAAAGACATCTGGAAAAGGTGGCAGTTCTCCAAAGACCTCTTCGGATCAGAGTAGAGTAAGGGAAAAGCCAAAATCAAAGAGTTCTTCTGAGAAGTCAGTCTTCTCTTCGTCAAAAACTGATGCTAAGAAAATGAGCCCACTCAGAGATGAAAATGATTTCAAAAATCAAACCTTGATTGTAGAAGGGTTCATAAAACAGTTGGATGCGAAATATCACATACCAAAATTATCAGCAAGAAATTCTAATCAAGATGATAAAAAGGAAAAAACAAGCAGTGAGAAATCTTCGGATTCTCCAAAGGAGAGGTACCAAAGGAGTGAAGACCAAAAACCAAAAGGCACTTCCTCTATTTCTGTATTGAGTCCAAAAGTGTCCACTAAAGGCACAGAAGGTGCAGAGACTTCTAATATCTCAATCATCCCAGTAAAATCGACAGAAGATGCCGGCTCGACGGATGACACACTCAGTAGTCTTAAAATTGAGTTACCCATATCCACAATGTCATTTATTGAGCAGCAGCCTCCTGAGTTGATTAACGAGGAAGATTACATTTCAAGGCCTCTTTCCTCCAATTTGCCTTGCACTGTTCAAGAAGCGGCTGAGATGCTTTTGGACTTTTCAGCCCCCGGCAAGGGGGATAAGCTTATGATGCTGAGGAATACACCGCCGCCTCCACCATTACCTCTTCCCCCTCTGCCACCCGCATTTCCAGGTTCGCCATCCGTTTCTGTTCACATTGTAAAATCGCCAGCTCCTGTTGGCAGAGATCTCCCAAACATGGTCATACCATCTCCACATTCGCCTTCCTCTTGTATCACTGATGACGAACTTATGGACGAAGCAGTCGTCGGGATGGGAAAGTGAAACTATAATAAGAACATGTTTGTGTTAGCTTCTTTTAAATACTTACATGTTTGCTTTAATGTACGGAAAGATAGATAAATCAATTTTTTTTCTTTTATTTATAAAACCCCACCTTACCTAAGGATATAACGACGTCAAATTTTGTATTTTCTGAACTGCTTTACTTTATAATTTATTTTCTTACCAGGCAATTTTGGGTTGTAAAGTGAACTAATTATTGTATACAGATACTGTTGACTTGGTTTGTAGCATTGGACCACAATTTTCTCTATCATATGTTAATAAAATAAAAGTTCTCTATTAAAAAATAATAATTGTTTAAATACAGACTTTAGTAATTAATGCCCTTGCTGCAGAAAGACAAATCTAAATGTGAAGTATTTTAAAAACTTTTAGAAGAAGAATTTTAAAAATAAATTTTTATGTGATTTTATACAAATTGTTAGCATTGTAGCAATTGTATATCAAAATTGCCTTGTAAAATAACGCCCCCTCTGTTTCCAAAGTTAGTCGATGTGTGCCTTTCTTTGATCAATATAATTAGATTAAGAATAATCGGAAGAGGACCCAAATTTATTGTACTATGTGTGTAGATGATCATTATAATTCCACTGTATTTATATAGGTGTATATTTGTTATTAATTTAAAAAAAGAAAAAAAAATGAGATAAGATTATTTAAGTTCCATTATATAATATATATATTTAAATAAAATCTATAATTGGTACAAAATTAGTTTTATTACTTGTTAACTCCACATTAATGTACGGTTTTATTTTTCAATGGAACATTTATATCAACGCCCGTCTGCCAAAATACAATTTTTTAAAAATGTTATATTAAATATGTCACCATTTTTACCTTTTTATAGCTTTTCCAAGCTAAACTGTTCCACTGCTGCACATTTTTATTGGATGTGGGTTGATAAAAGGTTAAACAATAAAAGGAGTTGCCCTTTTACAACCTTGCATAGCACTACTCCGCTAGACCTTTTAGCTAAGCTTAAGACTTTTTTCAGAACCAAAGTTTCTTTAAATTGTTTTATTTGTACTGTATACATATTATAAATGTGATAATAAATTTTTTTTTCACACGGTCATGACACTACTACGAATGCTGGCACTCAGTGTGAAGGATTAAGGGGCTAGGAGGTCACAAGGCCATCGTCAGTTAAGGCAACGTAGCGGGTTCTTGGATGGGAATGTGTAGAAAGTGCATGGGCAGTACGGCTAGGATGGATCAAGAGGTTGGTGTAAAAATTTTGGAATCAGGAACAGATCAGTAAGTTGACAAAAGGAATGGTGAGGTCATTGGGGATAGTGACGTTAGTGATGTAATAAGGAACTTTGAAAATTTGACAGGATTTTTGATTGGATGCACTGGATTGGATGGCTTGGCAGAAACCCACAGTTCCACTCTGTATGTCCAAAGTGGTCGCAGTAAAGAATTATATAATGTTAGTTTAGTTTTGACAGTCAACGCCGATTTTGACCCTCATAGTTGTCCAATTCTTCTGTTGAGTTGTCTTTTAGGTCTTGTACAGGGATTCCGACAGTCTACCGTTTAGGTACAGTCCTAAATATTTGACTTGAATGGAAGTCTGTATTTCTTTGTTCATGTATAATATAGGGCAAGACTGTTTTCAATGTGAACATGCATTGAGTACATTTTTCTCCATTCAGACTTGTCCTCCACTTTTTGCACCAGTCTTTAATAAGCTCAGGGTGTTCCTGGATGTTGGAGGAAGCTTGGATAGTATTCGAGGTAGATCATCCACCGTAACGGCATTAGGGTGTATGGGTAGGTCAGCAGTATAAATTATGTAAAGGATGGGACCAAGAATGGTACCTTGTGAGATCAATTAATACCAAGTACCAATTAGGTAATTGCTTTTATTGGTACCTAGTTATCTGCTATTCTTTTATTGACAATACCCAGCTGTTGAGATTACTGGCACATTGTTCAATAGTCTCTGCCTGAAAGACAGTATCATGTTAACCAAGGCTTGTATGAATTCTAGTCCTTGGTTTATTTCCATACCAGCTTCTATTCATAATTAGAGACATATACAGTATACAAGGCATTTGTGCCAACTGCACCTCAATCTTAGTTGCTCTATTGTGCTCCCCTGTTTTTTTTATAACTCACTGGCCAGCTTAAGGTTGTTAATCAACCTCCATAGCCTTGTTAACATCTCCTTAGTGTAGGATCTTGCTTGTAGCTTTTTCTCTCCTGGATGCAAGAATCTGCACCTTCACAAAAACATAAATCTAAATCTGTTCTGTGGTTTCCTCCTCTTCTTGGCAATATCTGCATAGTGTTTCTTCTGTATGTACTCCTATCCGGTGCATGTGTTTCTTAAGTGGCAGTGCCCTGTCACTCTGTCAGGAGTCAAAACAGAATCCTGGATCGGTTGCAATTGCCTTCCAGTAATTCCATTTTTTTGGGACTTTTTTCATACGTCAATCGAATAAGATGATTATTCAGAAATCGTGAGATGCGGTCTGGTGTGATATAGGTTTCAGAAAAACATTTTCTTAATCGTGCCAACGTTTCGATCTTTATTGAGATCATCTTCAGGGCTCAAAGTGTTTGTCTTCTGTGTAATTGTGCCTTCTTGAGTGTCGTGTTTAAAGTGCCATGGCAGGGCAAAAATGGCACAATTACACAGAAGACAAACACTTTGAGCCCTGAAGATGATCTCAATAAAGATCGAAACGTTGGCATGATAAAGAAAATGTTTTTCTGAAATCTACATCACACCAGACCGCATCTCACGATTTCTGAATAATTATTAATTCTGTATTTTATTTTTATTTTATTTATCTGTATTTTACTTTGCACTTTGTAAGCCTCCTACTGGTTTTACAAGTTAATAGCTTGTAAATAAGAAAAAAGAACTTTGGATATGACTAGATATTAATAGGAATGCATTGATAGAATTGAAAGCTGAGAGAAAGAAAATTGATCAGAAAAAGAATAAAAAATTAATTGTTTTGATTTTTCCAGTATTTGGGTTCTTCCCTAAGACGTACAGGTTGCATCGGACGGTACTAAGGGATGGCCATAGGGTGGTTTAATCCTTATTCAACGACCCCAAACCTCCTTTCTCCCGCGTTTATGTCCCCCTCGGAGAAAGACAAGGATCTGTCCAACTGTCGGGTTTTAGAAGGGAGATCTGCCTCCGACTACCCGGAATCTGAGCCAAATCTCCTAAGCCGGTGCATAAATCGTGTCAGTAGTAAATAACTCTGGGGATCAGCTGAAACATAAGGTGCTACAATGGGTAACAGCCCGCCAGGTAAAGAACACGTGGGATGCGTTAACCCGGTTGTTCCGTTTGTACGAGGACCTACTTGAAAAATCCTTTCCATAAATTTCTTACGGAACTCACAGAGAGAACTCAAGTCAGTACAGTCAATTAAGGAACTTGAAGACGAAGTAACTCTCAAATTCATTGATTAATGAAAAATCGTACAATTTAACAAGGCCCTGAGACATTAGTAGGTTTATTTGTGATTGACTATTCAACCTTTAAGAAAAGGTTTACGATAGTTCTTATAATAAAAAAATGGAAAAAATATTGAAGGTCTGAAGGTGATCAACTCCTAGTTGGTCGTTTCCCACCTTTTTGGTCCGCCCTTCATCGCTTTTCTGAACCGCCAGAGTTTCTTTAGTCTTTAAGGTAGGTTTGAGATTTACCTTCATAAGAAATTTAATTTCATTCATAATTGTTGTATTATGATTATTTGGAGATCGTGAGATGCGGTCTGATTGTCGTAGATTTTAGAAAAACATTTTCTTTATCGTGCCAACGTTTCGATCTTTATGGAGTTCATCTTCAGGGCTCAAAGTGTTTGTTTTCTGTGTAGATGTGTCATTAATGAGTGTCGTATAAAGGGCGCACACTCAACCCAATAATGACACATCTACACAGCAAACAAACACTTTGAGCCCTGAAGATGATCTCAATAAAGATCGAAACGTTGGCACGATTAAAAAAAAATGTTTTTCTGAAACCTACGTCAATCAGACCGCATGTCACGATCTCCGAATAATCATTGACTAACGGTCACTCAATACCACACATTGTTGGGTTTTTGGAATGCAACACCGCTGATGTATATGTGAAATATTCTATTAGGCTAGCACAGCGAGGACATGGAGACAAATGATCGGAAACATCCAATTTACACATGTAAAGCATTGTTTATTTGTAGTTTTGAAAAATTAATCTTTTATCGAATTTTTGCTCTTGACATTTTGTTTTATAGATTGCTATTTGGTGAATTCAAAATTTTCCATATAAATAATGGCGTTATTTGTTTAAAGACTTAAGAAAGGAAATATTTTCGAATTTAGCACTGCTTTTATAAAATGTGCCTCCGAATGGTTAGTAGTTCTAGATATTTGCTTCAAATTTTTAAATTTGATCAAATTATTTCATAAAGTACGGCATAAGAAGGAAGAAGTGATGAGCTGTCATTGAAATACAATAAAATTATCATCTGTAAAACGTTGAACAGATCTTGACTTTTAAATTTTATAAAGATATTCAGAAAGTTATCATTTGTTTATAAATTACAACATTTGCAAAGCAATGACGTCAAACAACAAACCTCAAGGCATATTTATTGGTTTACAACACAAATCGTAGAACAATGACAAGTCACGAATGAACAAGGGAGACTAGTTCAGATCATAAATTGCATCACGATTTTTTAAAGAGAGTTTTTGGTTCGGTTTGATTGATTTATTTCCGTTTAATATACAAGCTTATTGAACAAACGTATTAGGAAAAAGGTCCTTTCGAATGTTTCCAACCGGATTTTCGTTACTGAGCTTGTTTCCTTAATATTTTTCCCCGCCGGTCGAACCCGAATCGTCTATTGGCGTCAGTTCAGTTCTTCGGTTTGTTTATAAATAGGTGGCGAAAACAATATTTTCTACCAGACTCCGTGAACTACATTTGACCCGAACCATCACCCGAATATAATACTGGCCTGGTAGAAAATGCCGTCACGTTGGAGGACGTTGGCGTACAGTTATGCTTGATGTTGTCTCGCCAGGACGTCCCCTGTAAAAGGT